CCCCCCTCTTCCATCTCTCCCCTCCTCACCAGCAACGACCCCGTGGTGAGAACCTCCCTTTCCGCCACTTCCACGACCATCCCACGTGTTGGTGAGTAGACGACGCCGACTACAAAATCGGAGTGCTACCTCCGGACACTGCAGCGACACGAACGACACATGGCCGCAATAGCCGAACGGAATTGGAAAGCCCCCATGTCGTACAAAACCCCATCACGTATGTACACTTCGGCATGACGTGGGGTGAGTAGTCGTTGTTCTGTTTGCCGTCTTCAAGCAAGTGACGGCAGAGCAGCAGCACGCGACAGAAAACAACAAGCACCACAAACACGCACATGCAGGATGCCCCCCCCATCCCACTTCACCGGCTATCCGGGACAAACGACAACCACCCTATCCCACCCTGCGATGGCCATGTCCACCACGCGCCCGTCTTAGAAGACTCCAGAAAATCTTTGACGGCCACGTCGAAGACGGGCACCACGAACACTTCATCAACCCCCCCCGCCAGCTTCATCATCAGCTTTGTCTTCTTCTTCCTGATCCGGGGGGCCTGTACCCAACCAATCGAGCTTCTTGGCGTCCGTGGGGGAAGGCAAGTTGGCGTCATGTGAGAACTTAACGCCGCAAGACGCCTAGTCGGGGATGTACAACGGAGGGTCTACCAAAGTCCTAGGGGGTCTCGCCAACTTGTCCGTGATGACGGTCGCTGCTTGCAGGATATGGCGACGCGCGTTGAATGAGCGATGCATGGATGCAACGAGCATTGGCTTCGCTGTCAGTTGGATGAAAAGCCACGCGTCGTAATGCGCGCGAAGATCGTCCCCGCTCATCCGCATGAGCCACATGGTCGCTGCGAACATGATCCTCATCGCGTCGGCAATGCTCTTCAACCTTTCATAGGACACCCGCCCGCCGTCGACCCCCTTCGCCATGCTCACGACGCTCGTGAAAGCCCCCACCAGTCTCTGGATGCTCGCCTCCTGATACGACGCCAACTCGCCGTCCTCGTGCCTTTCCTTGATGTCCGCGCCGACGAACCACAGTGGCAACTTCATGTCCATGTCCAGAGTAGTGTGGAAGACCATGGGGCTCACACAGATACGCCAGTCCTCCCCCATCCACATGGCTCGAGCGACGTCAGTGGCGGCGTTGTTCAACGCGTACCCGTACGCAGCATGGTACCCCCGTTGCCTGCTCGCTGACTTGAAGACCCACCCGTGGATCACCCGCAAAGCGATGGTATGCACCTTCAGCGCCCTTTCCTTTGCAGCGTTCAACTCCGTTTCGTCCTCGATTTTGTGTTGCGGGATGGTGGTATGAAGCAAGACCATGCTTCGATGAACGGGCGGAGGCTGCACTCCCCGCGCCACCGCCACAAGATGCAGGTGCACTTCCTGTATCAACTTCACTATGGCGTTCCCTTGGGTTTCGTTCTAGAAGCGGAGGTCGTCCACCCACATCTTCTCCGCCACCTCCATTCCATCCCGCGTATTCCACTACCTCACCCTGTTCACCAGCGCTTCGTCATCCTTCCCTACTCCGGCGACATCGCCTGCCCTCGCGCCTTCCCCCGCGTGTGAAGCCCCCCCCGCTGCGGCCCCTGCCCTTGCGCCTTCCCCTGCGTGTGAAGCCCCCCCCAATGCGGGCCCTGCCCTGACGGTTTCCCCCGCGTGTGAAGCCCCCCCGGCTGCGGCCCCGTGCGCCTCCTACGCAAGAGAGCAGTTTTGTTCCCCTGACTGATGGCTTGTGAAGTGGCGCCAACGTCTACAGCCGTCCTCGACCGTGGGGTTGCTGTTGTTCGTGCGCGGACAGTAGGCTCATGCGCGGTCGGGGCGTCATTCAAAAGTGGCACGGGCGCGCGAATTTTTTGTGCAACGCCACCTGCCATACCCTCCCTGGATGTCACTGCGACGTCGACGTCAATGACGTTTTCCACGACTACGCAGCCTCCTTCACCTCGGCTTTCGCCACCCTCATAGCCCCCCTCTTCGATTCGGATGCCTTCACCCGTCCGCCTGAAAGACCTCCTCTTCAACGACACTTTCTCCTCTTCTTGGAAGTCGCTCTCCTCCTGCGTCGCCACCCCTTCCCCCACCCACTCGTCATCTTCGTTATAACCTGCAACAGAAGGGCCGCCTTGGACGACCTTCCTCTCCTTGTTGACGGTGTGACGACCCTTTTTCTCCCGGACCGCCGCTTCCACTGCCTGGTTCGTGGCGGACTTGCCGCGTCCGACATAGGGGGACGACATGGCGCACGTCACACTTACTTGAAGATTGATCAGCCGCGAAGTCGAACTCTCCACGGCGATGGCGGAACGTGCCCTGCGTTCAAAAAGATAGTCTCCATTGCGATGGCGGCGATGACGATGATGGCGACGATGTCGACGATGGCCCCCAAGGCGACGATGTCGACGATGGCCCCCAAGGCGACGATGGCGACAACAGCGACGACGGCGAAGACGACGACGATGGTGATGCACAAAAAATCAAATATGGCGAAGATGGCGACGACGACCAAGGCGATGGCGACGGCGACCAAGATAACGAAGACGACGACGACGACGACGACGACGAAGACAATGACGACGACGATGACGACGGAGATGATGGCGACGATTGGCAGCGGGTTGTGGGGTGCGGAATGCGCGCTGAAGGCGGCGGCTTGTGGGAGCAGTACTGCGCGCAGAAGGTGGCGGCTTGTGGGAGCAGTACTGCGCGCAGAAGGTGGCGAACCCGCCGCAAGGCGGGGATCGTCAAAGATGGCGAACCCGCCACGACGACTACCTTTCTTCCTCGGAGAAGAGCAAGCGCGGAGGGGAGGCAGAAGCAGGTGAAGGTGAGACGGCGGGACGTCGAGTGTAAATCGGGCGTCTGGAGTCCAATCGTGCATTTGGCAAGGACGCCCGCATCCTTGTAAATACGTGTGACGAGGGGTGGACAGCAAGGAAGGACCACTATCCAGCCGTTCAACGACAATTCCATCGCCCTTCAGTCGATAAGATGGTGTCGTAGGGGTCGTTGCTGACGGCCAAACGAAAGGGGAAGGGTCGCGGGGAGGCGGGTGTGCATCCGTCACCCCACCACCCTTCTTCTCGCCACCCTTGCTGAATTCAGGAGAGGGAAGGACCCAACGCGCCACCACGGCAGGACAGCAACCTCGAAGCCACGACACGCGAATGGACATGAACGCCCGCACTCCCCCGATCCCACTATCCCCAAACCACCCACCACCCCCCCCCCCCCCCCCCCCACCAATATAGCATACATATGGAAGGGGAGGGGTTAACGAACCCCCCACTGTGGACCTCCGACAACCGCCACCCCACCCGGGGATCGACAACGACACGAAATAAGCAAAAAATTAAAACAACACATTTCGAAATGTCCAATTGTAATGACTGGACATCCACCCCGCAACGACGATTTCCAATGAACACAAGTTGGACATCTGCTTCGACGACTGTGTGAGAGTATTCACGATTTCGCCAACAGCGATTTTCGTTTGCGAGAACAACAACAACATTCCATACAAAATAAAGGTGTTGTCTTTAATGTCGTCCTTGAAGGACTACATTAAAGACAACACCTTTATTAAACATTTGCATTTTTGCATTTCATTTGGGGAGATGACACCAAAACACATGTTGGAGAGAGAGAGAGAGAGAGAGAGAGAGAGAGAGAGAGAGAGAGAGAGAGAGAGAGAGAGAGAGA